AGTGAGAAACCTGGGGATCACCAAATTTGAGGCTAAGATTGGTCAGGAAAATGAAGCCAGTATCTGCATGTTCAAAAAGCTTCATTTTAAGGAGGTGTGGTAACAGCCTGTCTTCTACCAGAGAACGTGAGCAGCATTTGCCCTGTGACCAGGATTGAGCTGTTTTTCCTCTGTGTGGTACAGGTTGCTGTGAACAGTGTTTTTCAAGAGGTCACGCTGAGGCTGGATGTCAGTGACCAGGAGAGACAGTGGCTCCTGGAACAGACAAACCATGTGGAGGAGAAGAGCTACGTTGAACTGAAGCTGCCAGCTGGGGTGCTGGAGACCTGACAGACACATCCAAACACAGGTTTGGTTTCCAGGGAGGAGTTGGACACTGTTGGAGGTCTGGGTGTGGAGGACACTAGTGAGCCAACACTGCACTTGACTGTTTTCATCTGTCTCCTTCGGTTACTTTATCATCTTCTCAGCTTTGCACCTTGTTGCGCCAGCCAGGAATACTGCCTGAAATCTGGACCTGGAGAACAGCCACTAATTCACAGGCTTGACTAGGAATGACTATAACCTTAACATGCTGTTCTAGCAGAGCCTAAAATCACCAGCAGTTAATTGATTCCTGGTGCGACCAGTTTCCAGACAAGCAGCACCCACTGTTCCTACTTCCACTGCCCTTAGAGCAGGATTCATTAGTTCAACAGAGGCGGTCTCCATGCGCTGGTAGCTCAGTCTGTTTTCTTTTGAGTAAAAAAACTGACAAAAATCTGAGGTTTCCCCAGAGCCATCTGGGAGTAGTGGGGCTTGGCTGCTTGCTTTGGCTGGTGAAAGAGTGGTTAGAAGTTGTAAAGGACAGTAGAGACTCTTTGAACCCTATTTTCTGGGGTGTGGTGGGTTGCAGGGGGACACTGCTGGATCCTGGAAGCGAAAGGCCCAGGTGCGGGTGAGCACAACCAAAGGGCAAGTGCTGTTAACGTGATGAAAATTATTGCTATCAGCAACCGAGACTAGAGCAGAGCCTTGCCACGATGGCTGCATAATGCGGGGTACTGGCAGCTGCAGGAGGCTGCTGAGACAAAACCTCTTGCTGAGTTTCAAGACCGTGCTTTGGCATGCTGCTGCCTGATAAGAATGTGGACCTGGAAACCTCAGGCCATCAGTGAAGGGATATTGCACTTCATTTTACCAGGCTGCTTTTATGAAAGCAAGGAGCAGGAGAACACAACTGAAAGGAGACACAGTAGTGATCCCTTTCTTCAAGGAGCTCAGGACTTGCTCTGCTGAGCCTGGAGGCTCTTACTGGCTGCTCTCCAGTAAGACAAATGGGGGGAAAAATATCTCTTAGTGGGGCAGATACCTTTAGGACAGGAGTTAGCCAGCCAGCCTCCGCTGAGATACATATGAGATCTATTGTTGAAGGAGAGGCACTTGCTTGATGCCCACTGGACAGACTTTTTAATGCAGTTATTTAGCCTGACCTTTCCTGCCCCACACAGCGTGCTTTCCACAGCAGGGAAGCTTGCTGAGAAGAGAGGAGAGAAGGTAAGGAGGATAACTGACATGTTTTCCCACTGTCATAGCAGCCATAATGGCTAATTCTAGACCAGAAATTATTTGTTGCTATTACAAAGTATCAGGTGATAGCTTTCAGATTTGCCCAGGGATGTTTTTATCAGAGATTGGTAGACTGTGGAATTTTTAGTGTTGCTGTGCCTGTATTTTTAGGGGCTGGGGGTTTTAGTTTTCCAATTTTAGTTCATTTAAATACATCATTCCTGTGACTAATATTAAAACCAAGTGTGGAACAGTGTATCATGGTATTTTAAACAACAAGTATTTAGTGTGGATTTAGTTGTAGCGAAAGCTATGTGCGGTAATGAAGTGAAGCGCAGCTCTACTTCCAGCTGGGATTACCATGATGAGGGCTACTAATCCTCATGCTCTTCGTCACCTACTGCAGGCAGCAATGAATTCTGTCTCCCAGAATGAGATTTGCAGAACTTGCCAGATAAACTGCTGGCTCTGTGCTCCTTCCTTGGAGCGTTTCATCCCTCTACCAGAGGTGCGAGGTCAGACTGGCAGAAGAGATGTAGCTGGGGTGGGATTTGCTCCCCTGAAAAGTGACCAAGGTGGGCAAAGTTCTTTCCTTCAACCTCTGCTGCCAGGGCCAAGGCAGGCACAGTGAAACCATGCTGTCCTCCCCAGCTCCCCATGCCCAGCCAGTTGCTCTGGAGCCGGCAAGTGCCCCGCTTGGTATCCCCGGTCCCCTGGCAACGCTGGCACCTCCATGGCCAGCTGGAAAAAGCCTTCGCCCTGGCAACCCAAAACAAAGTTGGGTCTGTCCCAGAGCCATGGCCCTCCCCTAGGCTGGGGAGGGTCCCAGTGGGGCTCAACCAGGGTTCCTACAGGGAACAGTCCCCAGGCTGCTCCGACCGGGCAAAGATGCAAAAGATGCTCCTGGGATCCTCTAGGTGCCCCCACTCCTGCCCCACATGGTCAGCCCCAGCCCACAGCATCGCACCCCATTCCAGGCAGGGATGCCCTGCTGGCCCCAAGGGAGTGAGAGTGGGAAACGGGACAGAGGCTCACATCCACTCAGCAGTGCCACCACAGAGAATATGACTTTGGGGGACAAGGCAGGTTGAAATGGGCTTCCCCAGCTTGCAGGGGGGGAGTGACAGCCTGCACGTCCCCCACAGATCTCATGGCAGTTTGTCACTGGGTGGTCATTTTAGCCGCAGACCTCTGCAACCACTCATCTGCTCAGGTAGAGGAGCTTGTCTAGGGGTTTGGAGCGCAAAACCAGAGTGTGCAGAAGGGGAGGAAGCGAAGATGCTGGGCAGAGGCTGCAGCTGCAGGTCCAAGGCATGCCACAGCCATTGCTGAGAGCACAGCCCTGCCTTGTTCCCGGAAAGCTGCCATCCCACCCTCCCTGGCACAGCCATGATGCCAGCCCAGCCCTGCTGAGCCACCTAGACACAGCGTGCCCCTGTGCTTACCCACTGCAGCAGCAGGGCTTAGCTTGGCCATGTATAAGCTGCCCTGGGAAGAGGCAGGGTGGCAGAGCCCCTGGGGGTGTCCTGGCCCCACCATGCTGTGCCCCCAGCTCATTCCACTATCACCAACCCCATGCTGAAACACCTCTCTGCCCTGCTTTCCCCTGCTTTGCTCCCCAGACAGGGCCAAGATCCATCAATTTAGGGGAACAAGCAACCCTCTCCGCACCGATCCCCCTGCCTTCCCCCAGCCCAGGATGCAACCCTGGGGCTCAGGCTCACCCCAAACCCACCCAGAGGGCTGGGGGCAGTTTTGGGCTGCCCCCAGGAGAGCTGCCTCTCTCTAACCAGGCCAACAGACAGAGATTAGAACCCCACATCACTCCCCCCCACCCCCACCACACTCCCCAGGGGATTAGAGCCCTTTAATCACCCTGAGGTATTAACCCACACTGGGATGAGTCTATCTCTCCCCGACACCCCCGGCCTGGCCCCACTGGGTGCTGAGGGGGCACCCAAACCAGCCCCAGTGTCCCCCACCACTGGGAGTGTTACCTGCCTCTTTCCCCAGCCCTGGCAGCATGGTGAGCCCCCAACGAGCCCCCATGCATCCTCAGGCTTCAGAAGGATTTAGGCTTAAACCAGACACGTGAAGTCAGGAAGGTTTATTCCAGTAAACAGAATTTCTCTTGAGCTGGACAGTACAACAACACCCGATCGCAAAACACAGAAACAAAACATCCACAGGAAAAATTTCCACAAAATACATTTAAAAAAAAAAAGCGTGATTGGAAAACTCTTATTTTGGAAAAAAACAGTGTCTATTGAGAAGCCTTTAAATTAAACAGTGTCGGATTCAAACCCTGATCAGCTCTGTCTCCAGGAGTGAGCCAGAGCAAAGGAGATAATTATTGCTTGCTGTGCTGCCTCCGGACACCCTCTCCTCTCCCAAAGCAGCCCCAGGGGCAGGGTGCTGGGGGCTCCCTGCTATGCCAGGCACCCATGTTCTTCCTTGCACCCGCTGGGACCCAGGGGAGTGAAGGGACAGGGTCATCATGGACGGAGCTTGCCAGGTGGGGTGAAACACCCCAGGGAGGAATTGCTGTGGTCAGCAGGGGTTTGCTAAAAGTCACTAAAAGCCTCAGCTTTTGCAGTTAAAGGGCAATTTGGGGTGGGGAGGGCTCAAATGGAGATGGGGTTTGGGGTGGGGGAAGAATCAAGGAACAGCAGGGATCAGGAAGAATCAGGGAACAGCAGGGATCAGAAGTGTTGGGCATCGGGCCGCCCCAAATCCCCGACCCCCCCAAACCCCTGCTTGTGCCGACGGGGGTGTGCAGGGCTTCAAGGCAGGGCTGGAGGAGCACCTCGGGGATGGGGTCATAGGATGGGGCAGCCCCCCAGCACCCCCCGGCTCTCTCTAGCCTAAAACCACTGCCTAGACCCCGCTGTGGGGATGCTCGCTGGCCATCGAGCCCCATCCCTCAGGTCAAGGTAGTGGGGAGTGGCCCGGCATCCCTGCCAGGAGCCTGTGGCGAGAAGGAGGGGGATGCAGGAGAGGGGGGTGCGAAGCTGAGGGGGGCCAGTGGACCCTCCTCCCTGCGCGGGGGCCTTACCTGGATGGTTGATC